AAGGTGTCAAATGTAATTACACACACACACACACACACACACACACACACACACACACACGAAAGCACGTTAGCATCCTTAAAAAGCAGGATTCAGCATATTGTCTATGAGCAAAATGAATATAAATATAACAAATTCTAATGTTTACAGTAAGTAGTATTGCTGTCCTTATGAGTCAAATGATGTCATTATGTCAAATGATGTGATTTGTCAAAGGACAAGCAGGTAGAAAGGAGTGGATCCGAGTCGAATTAGATTTTGGGACTCCAAAGTGCAAGCTGTTAATCACCATTCTAAAACATGGGATGGAGGAAGGGAGTGAGGGTAGACGTATGAGGCATAAGGATCTGTTTAATACCTGAGCATGCATATTATATGATTTGCTTTAGAATTCCTAGGAGACACTTGGGAGACAAGGAAAATCTTGCCTACTCTACATACCAGGTGTTCTGGTCATTTAAAAATAATGATTAGTGTATGTCCTGTGCATTTGCATTTTGATTTTGGATAAAAACCAGCTAAAGTCATGGTGGAAATAAAGCTTAAGTGTTAGGTGCAGTCATTCGGAGCAATTCGTACTTTGATTCAAGCTAGTGATTCAACAGTGGATATCACTGGTCATAAGAGGAATGAGAGGAAGGCTGGAGGAGTGAAAATGCTTCAGTACAGATCTAAGATAGGATTTCTCACCCTCAGAGCTCTTGACATTCCGGGTCATGCAGCTCTTTGCGGTGGGTTTGTCTTGCACAGTGTAAAATGTTGAACAGCATCCCTGGCCTCTGCACGCTACGTGGCCCTAGCACACACCTTTCCCCACAGGTTGTGAAACCGAAAAATGTGTTTAGACATTGCTGAATGTCTCCTGGGGTATGAAATTGCTCCCATTTGAGAACCATTGTTCTAAAAACATCTCACAAAAGCATGGGTTGTTAGTAACTTCCAGTGTACATGTATAGCAATTGGCACAGCCCATATTTCATACGCAAATTCTATATTAGTAAATGATCGGTAGCACATTGAACTTTTGTTGTTGTTGTTTTGAGGGGGAGTCTCGCTTTGTCAACCAGGCTGGAGTGCAGTGGCGCAATCTCGGCTCACTGTCAGCTCCGCCTCCTGGGTTCACTCCATTCTCCTGTCTCAGCCTCCTGAGTAGCTGGAACTACAGGTGCCCAACACCACGCCCAGCTAATTTTTTGTATTTTTAGTAGAGACGGGGTTTCACCGGGTTAGCCAGGATGGTCTCGATCTCCAGACCTCATGATCTGCCCGCCTCCGTCTCCCAAAGTGCTGGGATTACAGGCGTGAGCCACCGCGCCTGGCACATTGAACTATTTTTAAAGCAATTTTCAAATTTGTGTATGCTTCAAGTAGTAAAAAGTGTTATCCAAATTGATGAGTGTTATCTTATTAAGACTATTTTAGAATTTAGTCAATGAGCAGAGCCATCCATTTATTCTTTACCCTTTTTTAGTTTAATTTGTTTTATTCCAAATAAGATTCTGAAAATAGTGTAGCAAGACATAAAGTAACACTACATAAAATCAAATACATTAAAATGTAATCGCTAAAATTCTTTCTTGAATTTTATGTATGTGAGAAGTTTTCTTTTGCCACGCTAGCAGGGTCCCTTAAAAAAGCAACAAAGGACAAAAATAGGATTTTTATTCTTTACATGTCTATGATCACAGGAATATATAATGTATACGTATGCACTTATAATATGCAGTGGGTTCAATAGTGTCCCCCAAAATTTATGTCCACTTGGAACCCTAGAATGTGACCTGTATGAATATAAGGACATTTCAGATGTAATTAAATTATAGATCTAGAGATGAGATCATCCTGGATTTAGGCTGTGTCCTAAATCCAATTACTGGTGTCCTTTTAAAAAGAAGAGAGGGGCCTGGCGTGGTGGCTCACGACTGTAATCCCAGCACTTTGGGAGTCTGAAGTGGGTGGATTACCTGAGGTCAGGAGTTTGAAACCAGCCTGACCAAAATGACGAAATCTTGTCTCTACTAAAAATATAAAAATTAGCCCAGCATGCTGGCATGCGCCTGTAATCCCAGCTACTCGGTAGGCTGAGGCAGCAGAATCACTTGAACCTGGGAGGCAGAGGTTGCAGTGAGATAACCCCACTGCACTCCAGCCTCGGAGACAGAGCAAAATTCCGTCTCAAAAAAAACAAAACAAAACAAACAAAAAAAAAAAACCAAGAGAGGTTACAGAGAAGCACATGAAGAAGGCCACTGCAGATGGAGGCGGAGATTGAAGTGAAGCATCTATAAGCCAAGAAATGCCACCTGTTGCCTGCAACCACCAGAAGCTCATGGCGTAAATTCTCTCCTCTAGCCTCCAGGAGAAACCAGCCCTGCCTTATTCCAGACTCCTGGCCCCCTTCACTGTGAAGGAATAAGTTTCTGTTATTTTAAGCCACTCAGTTTGTGGCCATTTGTTACAGCAGCCCTAGGAATCTAATATAGTATCTATGTATCTATTAGTAGAAATCACATTCCCAAGACGTTGATTTCTTACGTTCTTGATCAGGCTAATGTAAGCGTATTGTGGCAAATCCATCTGCAGGACCAGCGTACAGTGCAGTCTCCTGCAGAAGGGAGGGACAAACTTCTTTTTTCAAGCATGAAGAAATATGGAAACATCTTCTAAACATGTAGGATGTCCCGGTTATATTTGGAGACCGTGCTAACATCTGCCAACTGTCATTGTAGGGCAAATATGTTTGCACTGTAGGTATGATAGGGAACATGACGTTGGGAAGTCATCATCTCTGACCTCTCTAGTTCAGTGGATTCCACTAACACAGGTGAGGAGCAGATAGTCACCAAGCCCTGTGAGATATGCTGTGGTCCAGCAAAGCATGAGAACTGGAAATCTAATTCACTGAGTTCTAACACCTTGGGACATTTTGTCTCGAAAGCAAAAAGATGATCATTTGAAGTCATGTGATTGTGGAATAGACAGAAGGCTGAGCAAACAAAGTTAGCCAGCGTACAATGGAGAAGACCCAAAAATAAAGAATGAAGGATTGTAGAAGAACACAGCAATGTCAGACTCAGCATTGAGGAAGAGGCAGCAGCTGCCCATGGGCTTTGGAGCACAGAACTCATGGGATTTGGAGGCAGACAGAGCTGGATTCAAATCTTCTTTCTACATCTTCTTCACTTTTGGTAGATGACGTGAAATCGTTATGCCTTGGTTTCACATCAACGCAAAAGCGTACTTTATTGGCTTCCTGTTTGACCTGGCACGTGATGGGCACTCACAGGGGAAGTGGCAAGGATGTCAGAGCTACCGCCCCCTGTGCAAGCCCCCATTTTGTAAGGAAAATAAATCAGGAAAAACAATTGTTATAAAATTGGGTGGCAATCTGTTCAAAAACTGGTTTTAAGTTGATTGCTTGAAAGGCACAAGTGTGTGATGTGTGATAAGCCTTCCTCTAGCAATGCCACACTGACTTTGCATCAGAAACAACGTTTATGAAAATCCCAGGCTAGATGTTTGTCTTTGAGGGACTCAATTTTGGTTAAGAGAATTGGAGGAAAATAACACAAATTTTCTATTTATAAAGTAACACTCTCTCTTTTAAAGCGTTTGTGATCTTTATAAAATGGAATTTGATGTTTATGTGTTTATCCTTTCGACAGCCAGCAGTAAAGACTAGTTAAAATAATGAAATTTGCAGTTATGGTTTATTGCCATATTCTAACATCCAGAAATGGAAAGAAAATTTTAGAAGGATAAGTTAAGGTCTTTTATTGCCCTGTTCCCTATTGATATTGAGGAGATCTCAGCTATAAAGCAGAATCAACTTAGATATTTTTGAGGCATATATGTATTTATCTTTAAAACGTAGACTTATTTAAAAAGCAAATTGGCCGGGTGCGGTGGCTCACGCCTGTAATCCCAGCAGGTTGGGAGGCCAAGGCGGGTGGATCACAAGGTCAGGAGATTGAGACTATCCTTGCTAACACAGTGAAACCCTGTCTCTACTAAAAAAAAAAAAAAAAAAAAAAATTAGCCGGTCGTGGTGGCGGCGCCTGTAGTCCCAGCTACTCGGGAGGTTGAGGCAGGAAAATGGTGTGAACCCGGGAGGCAGAGCTTTCAGCGAGCCGAGATCTCACCACTGCACTCCAGCCTGGGAGACAGAGCGAGACTCCATCTCAAAAAAAATATAAATAAATAAAAATAAATAAAAACCTTAGACTTAAATGGATCTACAGAAAACCTCGCTAACATTTTAAAACACGACAGCTGTAGTGAAAACATCAGAATACATTGGGTCAAATTAGATTAAATTGCATTACGTGACTCTTGTCAATAAAATGCATTCCAAAATCTATGCTATCTAGTAAAAATAAGATCAAGGAATTCCAGTGTTGTAGTGATGACAAAGTTTGCAAATAAAAGCCTTCATGTATCTTTGAAAAGAGATTTTAAAAAGCAAATTGCCCATTTTTAGTGGGGAGTTGATTTTTGATGAGGAAACGTCTCCCAAATACTAAAGGAAGGCCAACAAGAAAGCAGAAATGCTGTCAACTTTACAAGGGGAAAAATGTAAGCCATTTCTTTGCTCTCTCCTGATATATATATGTATTTTTAAATAACGTTTTCTCAACTAGCTTATTTTTTGGCACGCAAAGAAGGCTCTCAGTTTCTTTTCATTCTGTTCGTTAGTTGACAGGACCTCCAGGTAAAAGAAATGTTTTTAATAAAATATATTCCCTCACAGTGTGGAGGAGAAGGTAGCTAAGCAAGAATAAAGGTGTTATCGCTGGCTGCTCTGGGACATATATGATGTTCACTTTAATCTATTTGATCGTCCCTGAATTGCTGATTGCTGCTCTTTTCTCTCCAAGGCACACAAGAGAAGCTGAATATATTTATATATGTACATATGCAGGATATACAGGCTGCAGTAGGCATGCTCATTGGCTTTCTTTTTTACCTCTCTCTGTTTCTGCCTTTCTTCTCACTGTGAGCTGAAAAATGGAAGCAATTTGCTGGAGCCATTCCTAAAGCTCTCCCACCCGGCACCTTGACTTTTATAATTGCTGTGATATTTCACCCGAGCCAGCCGAAATGAGCGGAAACGGTGAGTGGGCTAGAGTGAGGGTGCTCATGTGCTGATGTGTCATGGCAGCATCCCATAAATATTTGTGTCCCATTTCTCGTCGGACACGGAGGAACCGCTCCAGCCGCCAGGCAGGGATGTGTAGGAGAGGTCACATGGTCCCCCATTTCCTCTGAGACCTGAGAGTTTAATGGGCATTGTTTAAATTACCCTTGAGACAAAGCTAGCATCTTCAGCAACAACCCTTCATCCCGTCTCCTACTCTGCAGAAATTCACACTCTGGGTAACCATATCTTGGCCTTCGTTTTAAAAATTAAGCATCCAAATGAACAATGAACCATCGATTTTAGGATAACAAGTTCTATCCCTATTTGTTTTTTGTTTTTGTTTTTGTTTTTAGAGGGAGTCTCGCTGCGATGCCCAGGCTGAAATGCAATGATGTGTTCTTGGCTCACTTTGATGTCCACCTCCTGGGTTCAAGGGATTCTCCTTCCCCAGCCTCCCAAGTAGCTGGGGCTATAGGTGCCTGCCACCATGCCTGGCTAATTTTTGTATTTTTAGTAGAGACGGGATTTCACCATATTGGCCAGGCTGGTCTTGAAACCCTGACCTTAGGTGATCCACTTGCCTCGGCCTCCCAAAGTGCTGGGATTTTTTAATGTTCTGGTTAAAGCCCCGTCTTTCTTTGCGCATTATCTGAATTGGTGGTTAGATCCAAATTTCACAGTGCTTCTCACTCGCATCCAGGCTCGTGGCCACTCAACAGCCCTCCCTGACATGCCTTCCCCCAAGACAGATTTATTTTCTTCTAACTTCCAGAAGGATGGTTCCCTTCACTGTTTAATTAATACATTGACAACTTCCTCCAATTGCATTTTACCTCATAGATCAATCACTGCCCCATTGTCACTCTGTTATATGTAAATATATTTAATCAAAAAGATTGAATTACCTCTCCATCATTTATAGTGTTGTTCACACGAAAGCTGGAATCAAAGGCATCAGAGCGATGAAAAGTGCTTTTATCAGCCTCCCACCTAAGTCATTCCCCAAATCACCCTATCTAGCTCCTGGCATCTTGCTTTATTTCTTATCTCTAGGACTCAGGAAAGTTCTGGATGCATTTGTCCACTATTTTCATGTCTCATGTGCTTTGGTTGGATAATAATGAACCAACAATAATTATAACAACTTTGAGGTCCTATGTTCACTCACTTTCAAGTCATTTGCCCTAATTTGATGTCAGTCCCATTCATTCATTCCATTATTGACAGGCACTTTGCTGGGCACAGAGGATAAAGCAGAAATGAGAAAGAGGAGCCTCTTGCTTTCAGGGAGCTCAGAGTCCGAAAGAGGAAACAGCCACATAAACAAGTAAATACAACCCCTGCCTTGCTGGCTTGTTGGCTAACAAGCTGCTCAGTTACCGCTAGGTTAGGTTCGAGAGCACAGTCAAGTCTTCCCAGCATTTGCATTTTCTCGAGTTCCTTTCAAGCTCTCTGATCTGCAGACTGGATGTTCAGGGTGCACGTGTTAGTGGAAGCCCTGACTAAACTGACCTTCACAAAATGAGGACATTTACTTCTGCCTCCAAATGTGTGGGGGTCTCCACCTGAGGGTATGGTCATCATTGCAACAAACATAAAAGCAAAAGGCACAGCTGACACAGGCAAGTGCCCTGTAGGAGAACCTATGCATTACTCCAAACTCTGCTCAGGTGTGTAACAAACTTACACTATTAACAAACTCTGCTCCAAACCCCACTCAGATATGTAGCAAACTTACATTTTAACAAGAGATTTAAGAGAAGTTATATTTGATCTTTACAACATTGAAATGCCAGTTCTTTGACATTTTATATTCTGATTGGAATAGAAAGGATATCATTTAAAAATATTGTTTCTTCTCCAATTTGTATATTATAGACAGGACAAGCTTCATATACTTAAACAAAGATATTTATAATGCATAGCGTGTAGTATTTCATGTACTAAGGTTCACTCTTTACAATGTCTTATGCTATGTTTTATTCACATCAGGTGTTTACAATCATATTTTCTATTTGTTTTTAATTTTTGTTCTACAGATGGTGTTTTGCTTTAGCATGAACTTCTAAGACCTGCCCTCACATTCCTCCATTTCCAGTTAATAAAGCGGTGAGCATTTCCAAAACAAAGCAAAGAGACCACGTGACTTATGTAATGTAGTGGGACACATTTATTATGTAGATTATATTGAGGGATTTCAGTAGGTAATAGAAAGTGCATAGAATTGGAAATAAAAAAAAATTTGATTTCAGGCTTGTCTTGTTCATTTCCTGGCTGTGTGGTCTGAGGTGTTTACTAACCCCTCTGATTTTCAGTTTCTTCATTTCTAAGGAAGAATGGCAATGGCTACATTTTAGATTTATTATGAGGATTAAATGACATATTATATATAAAATGCATGGAGTGCAGTAGAAACATAGCGAATGGCACATATCTCTTGAAGAGAGGAAACTCAGACAGCATATTAAATCCAGTATAGAGACATGACAAATATCATTTTCAAAGCTTTTGTCAGGAATAGCTTAAAAAGTTAGATCTTTCTAGGACAATATCCTAAAAGAGTACTGAAAACACATTGGTTGATTTGCGGGCATTGCTTCTAATCTAGCAGATTTGCAACTTGATTATTTTTCACTGGAGGCATTAAAAGCAATTTATTTTTCAGCAAAAGGTCTATTTACCAAAAGAGGAGAAGAATAAAAAGGAGGAAAATGAAAGAATAGTAACAATGATACTCTCAATGAGATAAGTCACATAAAAATATGAAGGTATCTATATCGACTGATGCGTTGAGAGAGACAGAAATGGCAAGTGAAAATCTTTTAATGAAGAGGCTCTTTAGCAAATGTATTTTTATAGCTTGTATTTTTATCTCAAGATTTTCCTTCCAGCAACATCTATATGAAAAGAGAATTGCCACCGATTTCTTTAATTTGATTCAATTTTAGGATAAAAAAATCTACAAACAAAATATCATTCTGAGAGTGAGAGGTGGCTCATTCGGAGAAGAAATATTAATGATATTATTTTGATACTGACCAGTGTTTCTCAGGATACTGCTTTATTACTATTTTTAAGGTATTTTTTCTACCAAAATGGAAATATCTTATTTGTTGATTTTGTAAGTAATATATTCTCATTTTAAAAACTATGAACGAGAGCTGAGGCCAAGTGTAATGGCTCACGCCTGTAATTCCAGCCCTTTGGGAGGCTGAAGTGTGTGGATTCCATGAGCTAAGGAGTTCGAGACCAGCCTGGGCAACATGGTGAAACCCATCTCTGAAAAAAAAAAAAGAAATTAGCCTGGTGTGTTACATGCCTGTAGTTTCAGCTACCTGGGAGGCTGAAGTGGGATGATTATTCGAGCCCAGGAGGTCTGAGACTGCAGTGAGCCAAGATCATCCTACTGTGTTCCAGTCTGGATGACAGAGCAAGACCCTATCTCAAAAAAAAAAAAAAAAAAGAAAGAAAGAAAAGAAAAGTAAACAAGAGCTGAGTGTGGTGCCATGCATCTCTAGTCTCAGCTACTGAGGAAGCCAAGATGGGAGGCTCACCATGAGACCAGTAGTTCAAGTTCAGCCTGGGCAACATAGTCAGACTCTGCCTCTAAAAAAAAAGAAAAGAAAACTATATAAACAATACAGAAGCCTATCAAATAGAAAATATAAGACATGGCTAACAACTCGAGTTATATCTTTTTCTTTTTTCACATGCAGCTTTATTATTGTAATAAAATTACATATATGTTGCTATAGAACCAGGCATTTTCCCCTGATACATTGCAGCAGCTTTCTATATCCATCCACACAGATATATCTCATTGTTTCTACTGGGTTCATAGGGTCCCGCTATGCAGAGTTTTTATCATTATTTAATCAATTCGCATTGGTGGTCATTTGGGTAATTTCTTGATGTTAGTCTTGCACCAGTTGCCTAGAGCTGTGATAACAAAGTATCAAAACTGGGAAGTTAAAACAGAAATTTATTCTATCTGGAGGCCAGAAGACCAAAATCAAGGTGTTGGCAGGATCACGCTCCCTCTAAAAGTGCTAAGGGGGGACCCTTCTTTGCTTATTCCTTCCTAGAAGTTGCCAGCAGTTCTTGGCATTCCTTTTAGATGCATCACTCCAATCTGTGTCTTTCCATGACCTTTGCCCATATGTCTGTGTCTTTGTGTCTCTTCTCTTCTTGTAGGAACACCCATAATGTTGGATTAAGGTCCCACACTGCTCCAATAAAACTGATTTTAACTAAATGACCCTATTTCCAGATAAATTCACCTTCTGAGATTCTGGGAAGGACATGAATGGGGTCAGGAAGTTGAGGAGAGAGTATCCAACTGACTGAAATTACCAAAAATAAAGCTCCAAAGAACAGATAATCTGCACATTTGGCTGATTGTTACCTAAAAAGGAAAATATATTTTTCTTTTTCTTTTGAGACAGTCTCACTCTGTGGCCCGGGCTGGAGTGCAGTGGTGCAATCTCAGCTCACCGCAACCTCCTGAGTAGCTGGGATTACAGGCGCCCATCACCACACCTGGCTAATTTTTGTATTTTTAGTAAGGACGGGGTTTCACCATGTTGACCAGGCTGGTCTTGCACTCCTGACCTCAAGTGATCCACCCACCTCGGCCTTCCAAAGTGCTGAGATTACAGGCATGAGCCACTGCGCTTGGCCCTAAAAAAGAAATTGATAGATTAAAATTTGTCACATTTCCAAGCCTTGTAGTACGGATTTCCAGGTTTTCCTCCTAAAAGCTGGCGCTGCCACAGGAGTAGTGTTCCACATTCGTCAGCACTGGGTAGCGCCATGTTTGTTAAACTGCTCGGTTTAAAAACAGAGTTTATTGTTTTCCTTTAAATTCTTTTGATTGTTTATAAGTTGAGCATTAAAATAAAACAAAACACATTTATGCTCACTTGTATTCTTTTACAACTTACCATTTTGGTTATTGGCCATTATTCTATTGTGGTATTTGTATTTTTCTTAATGTTTCTTAAAACACTTTTTATATAATAAAAGTATTAAGCCTTTGTCTCTGTGTTGCAGAAATATTTTCCATTTGCTGTTATTGTTTGTATTTGTAGTTGTCAATGACTTCATTTTTGCCTCACAAAAGTTTTTACTTTTTATAAAGTCCATGTTGATCCTTTCCCTAAGATTGTAAGACCTCTCTCACTACCGATTTTTGGGACATTTTGGGGGGTTTTGTTGGCAAAGACATCCAGTGCCCCTTCAGGCCCAGCTTGCCCTGGCTTGTCTTGATTCCTGGGATTTTTTTCACTCATTAGTACTCCTTTTTAATCCCAGGTGCCTCGCATCTCTTAGAAACTCCCCAAAGTTCCTTGTCCATTGATGGGCCTAACCTGTGATTTCCAGGGTGTCACAGACTTTTCCCCCTTATTTTTATATGTCTTCTGTCATTGCCCTGGAATTTGGGGTGAGGTTTGGGGCTTACCATAGGCTCAATTTGCCATCTGGCAAACAGAAGCCAGTGCTCATTAAATAATAGATACTAGAAAATCCATTGATGAGGAAAATAAACCCATATGGGAGTGGTAGACTTTATATGTTCCAAAGGAATTAAATACATTCATCTCCTTCTATTTGTAGTTTTGGAATGCTTAGTGAGGCCTTATAAATCTAGACTCTTCTTTAAAAACAAAACATAAAAAGCAAACACTTAAGAATTCTGATTACAACAGTAATACAGGTTTTCAGTTGGGAAATATGAGCTCCCAGTTAGAACTTAAAATAATAGTTGGTTTTGCACAAAGTATGCTAGCTCCCTTTCCACCCCCTCACTTCTACTAAAAGTAGTTAACTGCTTAGCAGAATGCTGGTGTCACCTGCTTTCAATATGAACTAACTGAACCACTCTGGAGTTCATAGTTGAAGGGTTTATAGCCTAACCTAAGCAAGTTCTGCTTTTACTTTAATTGCAGCTTTGATTACATCATACTCTGCTTCACTCTTTAATGGTCTCCTCTGCTCTTAGGGCAAAGTACAAATACCAGAACATGACCTGCAAGAGCCTTTATGAGGGGGTTTCTGCTTGTGCTTTCAGCTTTCAAAGCTCCCAACCCAATGACCTTTCAGTTCTTGACTCCTTCTGCCTCAAAACCTTTGAGCATGGGGTTCCCTATACTTGGTGTACCTTTCTGCTCAGTGGTGGGCTTCATGTAGATAAATCCTAAGCATACTTTGCTTCTTAGGGATCTTTCTCTGGAAACTCCTTCAGGGAAACCTTGCCAGATGCCTCCAGGCTAGGTTAGATTGCTCATTACTCAAAGTCACTGATGTGGTTTGGCTGTGTTTCCCACCCCCACCCAAAATCTCATTTTAAATTGTAATCCTTATAATCCCCACCTGTCAAGGGAGCGAGCAGGTGGAGGTATTTGAATCAGGGAGCAAGCAGGTGGAGGTATTTGAATCATGGGGGCAGTACCCCCCCATACTGTTCTCAGGATAGTGAGTGAGTTCTCACGAGATCTGATGGTTTTATAAGTGTTTGGTAGTTCCACCTGCATTCATTCTCCTTCCTGCTGCCTTGAGAAGAAGGTGTCTTGCCTCTCCTGCACCATCCGCCATGACTAAGTTTCCTGATGTCTCCCCAGCCAGGCTGAACTGTGAGTCAATTATACCTCTTTCCTTTGTAAATTACCCAGTCTTGGGCAGTTCTTTACAGCAGCACGAAAATGGATTAATACAGTCCTATATCTTCCTTTAATTCCATAACATTTATCAAAAATGTAAAAAAAAAAAAAATTACTTTTTGAACACCAGCTCTGTGAGAGCAGAAAACATTCAATATTCTGTCTTCGGTCTAGAAAAAATGCCTAGCAGGTAGTAGAAAATCGTTAAATTTGTGGTTTTTAATGAATGAGAGTAATCTAGGTCATCAAAGTGGTTGTGTGTATGTTGCGTAGGAGAGTGAAGGAGTTGAGTGTGGGATAATTCAGTGTGCCACCAGGCATTCTGTCTGGTTCAGAAGTCACCGAGAAATCCTTTTTTCTCCATAGTCAATCACTCTCCTGTCCAAAAAGATTTGCATTGGAATACATAAACACACAAAAATAAACAATGTGAGGTTGTTATCTCTCCCACCAACAGCTTTGCTTCTGTGTTTTCCATGGATATATTTTTCAGTATGAGTTACATATTTATACACTTTATTTTTAAATTTGTGACTTCTTTAAAAAACCTTCAAATCCTAGTCACTGTGTCTGGGAGGTGCTTCTGATTGGGATCCTCCTGTCTGTGCCCTGAGACACTGTAGCATGAGCAGACAGCTTGCTGTGTAAATGTGAACAGGTCACAAGGTAAGCAAGAAAAAAATGAAATTTCAAAACTATTATAAATGACTTAGTCTTACAGAAACAATTGACTCATAACATGGATCAGCCCCACAGAAACAGAGCTGCTTTTATGTGTGTTCTTGATGTTTGCACAAGAATGAGATGTATTAATGGAAGGCATATTTTGCATTTTTCCACCTACTTTTCATTCTCTCTGTATTTTTTTTAAATAAGATGCCATGGCCTTTGTAATTTTTTTTTAAATAAACAAGATGCCATGGCCTTTGTAATGTTAATTAAGTAATATGTTAGAGCCTGCTCAAAAGCTAACTAAATTTTTTTATGAATTTTGAGGCCGATGTCAATCAATCATATTGGTTGCTTGAAATTGGCCAAGGTGGGAACATTTCATCAAGAGAACAGGCAAATGCTGCAGGACCCTACCCACCTTCTGCAGAGAGCCAGTGGTCAAGTTTTCACCAGCACCATTGACTGGTATAGGAAAAACTTCCCCTTTTCAGCAATGCACAGGTTATTCTGTACCAGAGGCTGAAGAAGCCACATCAGTACATGCAGAGTTTCTTTGCCCACATTTATGCTATTCTAGGTAAGCTTTCATTTCAACCGTATCTTTCCATTTCTGGCTATGTGGGAACCTAAATTATTTCTTCAACATGCACCTGAAGGGATTACAATTAACTTGATTCTTATTAAAAGTCAGAAAAGAAACCTGGAGGAAGTCAGATGACCTTCAGATCTAGATGGCTTGGGTCCCAATCCTGGCTCTGGCCTTTCCTAATCTCTTCACTGGAGCAAG